TTGCTTTTTACATCAGCTTGTCCACATTATGCTCCTAACTCTACGCAATACAAAGCTTTAATATACCCAGTTCCTTGTGAGACTATAACCACTTGTCCAAATAATTGGCTCATGCAACCACCTTTCAAGCTGTTCTGTTTTGCATTCTTTTCCAAATAAAACATTTAATCATTCCAGTGGAATTCAGAATCTGTGACTGAAGTTTTTGTCCCTATTTGGACCTGGCTTGCTTACCTAACAGAAGCTCTGAATAGACCCAAATTCCATAACTGAGAACGGGGCTGCTTATGACTACATTTTGAGCCTTGGGAAGGAGATAGGCAGCATTACATTTCAGGGCACAGTGGCTTTCTGAGCACTGCATCCTTGGGGTGAGCAATCTATGCTCCAGTAGAAAACAGGGTTGGATCACTGGGTCAGAAGCAAATCTGGCCAACGAGTAAATGAAGAGTCTTTTACATTGCAAATTCAGTGTCATTTTACCCCTGGCCCAGGAATGTGCCCACCCAGAACCTATTCCAAGCACTATCATGCACAGATGTCAGAGAGGGAGCCATCCTTATCTGCCAGAGTCCTTCATCTCTCTTTCCACCTTTCATACACCCTTGCACCACTGCATAGAAAATGCTTTCCAAGGGCTATATTCCTGAAACATTAACAGGCAACTTATGGGAAATAGCTGGTTATTGTTCTCACTCAGCATGATCAGAGTTTGAATGTAGGCATTTATAAATGTTTTCAACTAGCTACTGGACATTAAAATATAGGAAACCCATAAAGCAGCAGAACCTGCCTTATAATGAGCAGATCCCATCAAGATAGAAGAAATGTTTGTTAAAGTTTGACTTGCCTAATGCAGAATAACCCCTGGAGGTAACAGGGGCTTATATTTCTGAATTCCAGTAAATTAAGTTTGCAGATCTTGGCTAAGGCACAGGGAAGCAATTTTGCAATGAAAACCTAGAGCCTGGAGTTTAAAGCACTTTGAGTATATGGAGAGAACTCTCATGGAGTAAAGTGCTTTTCAACATGAATAAGAGGATTGGAATCCTTGCTGAACAGCTGCAAAGGAAGATTATTCAAGCTCAGTGAGGGACCCCCAACTTTCCTTCCTTTCATTTCGAAGAAAAAGTTTTGAGGCAGGAATGTATTTTTTGTGCAGTAGTTACCTTTGAATGGTACTTTACTGAACCCTTTTTTATTTGCTTATTTGAAAGTGATTTAATAAAGCTTCTGTCCAGATTCATGAAGTTGTAAAATAGGATTGGAGAAGGAGCTCTGTTTAATTATATAGTTTTCTTCACAGTTGGCAATAGTGCCACTAACATAGTTGCTTTCACACTACTCCCTGAAGATTTCAGAGAAAGTTTATTTCTGCAAGGTGCTGCCACAGAGGCCTGCACACTGACCTCTCTTAGGACAACAATTGTTGCAAACCCATGTTTAATTTTTCCCTTCACCTCTGTAGAATTTGTTACAACTTAGCCCATGACTGGAATCATGATTGGTTCTTCCCCACTCCAATGCACAGAATATGCTCCAGTGATTGCGGCTGATGTGGGCAGAGAAATACACATCAAAATGATGTAAATGGAGGGGATACCTTGTATCAGAAATTTCAGAGGGAACATTCAACACAAGACTCCCTTTTTGGATGGCAGCACCATGTAACATGTAGTTCCTGCCTTATATCCTATACATAAAAACTTATAAGTAAAGATCCTATAAGAATTCAGGCTTGCAGGTTCTGCTTTGGCTAGGGCTAGAACCAGAAGACTCATCAGTCACAGTCAGGTACAAAATATCTCTATTTAGAACTCTGACCTCAGGAATTCATTCTGAGTGCCAGAATGGAACTGAGATCCTGTCACACACAAAAAAACCTCCTTATTTCCCCACCCCACTTTATTTCAGCCATATGATTTTGGGTGAGAGAGAATAATATTGTTACTTCTGTTGCTAAACGCTGGAGAGTCAGAAATCCTTGCTTAGTTGGGGAAATGCCCCTTGTTGTGATTCCTTTTCTAGTCCTCAGCTAGAGGAGGCAAGAGAAAATACAGGTCAATAGGGCCACCACAGTGGCTGGCTAAGCATCCTGGGACTACATGACTAAACCAGCAGAATGAGCTTTACAGCACAATGCTCATTCCCTGGTCCAAGAAGCTTGCTCAGGAACTTTTCTTAGCATTATTTGTAACCCCCAGATTGTGTAGAAAGGAGAATGTAAACTAATAAAATGCTGGATCCTCTCATTAAAACTCTGGCACTCAGAGTGCATCAGCACATGAGTAAGTAGTGTCATGATCTGGCAGTACAGCAGGTTTTTGAAGTACTAATGACTGGTGATCTTTGAACACAGCTAGGTTAGGAAAGAGCAAAAGGAATTAAGACAACTGTTTAAAAATATCACTGGATTTTTTATCATTTTCAAACCATCATTTTGCTAATGAGATGCCACGACAGCAGAAAAAGGTTCTCAAGAAATGGCAAAGCTTGTTACATGTTATCTCAGAGCTTTCAGTCCTTCTTTCCAGTTCAATATCCATAAAAAGAGAAAAACTGGGTATATATTTTTCAGGCCATGTCCAGATGAACACAAACTGTTTTTTCACAGTTGAACTGGGCCTATCCGCTTCTCTTCAGTAAGACAGTCTAAGCCTGCAGCCCTACCAATTTACCTGGGACTCAACCCCACTGAATGTAATGGGGCCCTGTTATAGATAAAAACACATACAAATGTGCCACAAATGTGGGATTTGAATCTATTATATCAGCACCCAATTCTTTAGAGCAGCCTTCTCCTACTGAGTGCCCTCCAGATGTTTTGGACTGTAATCCCCTGCATGTCTGACTATTGGTCATGCTGGCTTGGACCAATGGAGAGTTGTAGTTCAAAACATCTGGAAGGCTGCTCTAGAATTTTGCCAAAGAATTGTACCCACTTCCCCCAAACCACACACACCCCTTTAAAACAGTATCTGCAGAACTGTGACACATAACTAAGCTATAACTTGGACTTAAATAAATGCCTTCAAGTCTATCTTCCAAGATACTAAGCTCCGCCCAGCATTGCTAATGGTTTGTAATTTGAATTTTCACAATGAGGTAACAAAACATCGATCTTATTAACATGCTGCTTGCAAATGCCCAAAATGATATGGGACAGCTATCCCACACTTAGGACAGCTGGCAGTTAAAGAAATAAAGCCATCAGATTTCTCTAATGCACTGGGACATTTAGCCAGATAAGAGAGAGCCACAATGATAAATCATATCTAGAATGGCATTTTTACACATTGTGGTATGTTAAGGAAGGAAATGACCACGAATTAGATTCTTAACGCAGAACCTGCATGAAATATAGGACTGTGCTGCAGTTGTGGATTATCCACTTACTTAGGGGCACAAATTATGCATTAACCTATATATTTAGAATACAGTACGTAAGATGAACTCTAAATTATTTTGTTGTAGTTAAGCTCTAAAGAGCAATTTTATCCTCTAAAAATATCCCAGTGTGAAATACCATAGACAATACAGAGATGTACATATTCTTGGAAGAAAAACATTGTAAACTTTGGTCGTAATGGCAAATGCGCCACCTATCAACTGCTGTGCAGAACTGCCGCTGCTTCAGCAGCTGAAGCCGACTGGGATGCTACACATGAAAGGACACCGGAAAGCAACCATCTACACTGTGAAATCATGGAGAGCAACAACTACTTTGCAGGACAAAGTACCTGCTTGCAGAAGGCAACATGCTTGTGCACACACACATATGCACAGGAATTCAAACTAAGTTTGAAACACCAATTACTGAGTGGTATTGAAGTCGGCACACCTACAGACAGCTTCTAGTACAATAAATGTGTTAGTCTCTTCATTATTTTGGCTGCAAGAAACTGCCAATAGAGAATATTTATATTATATCACATCAGGCTCATGAGACACCTGGTGACTGAGCAGGTGGCCGACTCTGAGCTCCCAGGTGCAACTCTACCAACCTGTCTCTGCACAACCATCCAGTTTTGGATTGTCTCAAAGTAGACAACAATACCTGGAGGCTCCCCGAACTTTCCCCATTTGCTGCAAGGGCCATTCGTGTCCCCTTGGTTTGGCTCAACTGCTTAAAAGGTGTGCTTTGGAAAAAGTTGCTGTTTTGAGCAAGAAAGGAATCTAGACTTAACGCCACAAAATGTCATGCAGACAAGATGTGTACCTAGATGTGAGCTGGACCTACAGATGTACCATGAATTGCACTGCGTAACAAAGTACTATCACTGTACCACTGTGACAGAATCACTACAAGAAGGTCACTACAAGAGGTAGGGGAGAACACCACCACTCCTTCATAACATTAAGTAATTAGGTCAATTAATATGTACACCAACAAGAGGAACAAAAAACAACAGGAGTAGAATAAGTGAGGGAGTCTCATATGGTCCACTTGTCTGCCATCCAACAACCTCTGTACACATGGCACAACAGGATAATGCAATTCTTACATTACTAGCTAGTTTGTTTTTAAATTTCTTCCTAGCTAAAAGGAACTCATCTTCACTATGGCCACATCTGAAGAGTGTAGCCTCCTTTTTAAGCAGAGTGCAATGTGATGCCGTCAGTCACTTGAGACTAATGCAGGACCAGCCCTACCATTAAGAAGATTGAGTAGCTGCCCCAAGTGGATTTTTGGCAGCATGAGAATGTAGCAAATTATCATTTATTTTTTATTGTGAGTGAGATAAAGGTAGTTTCTGCCTCTTGGGCAGGATGCACCTTGACCTAGGAGTGGGCAGTCCCATTTGTTGCTCCATCTCAGGCAGAAAAACGTCTTCAGCCAGCACTGGAACAAAGCTTCCTTACCTTTCCAACTAAGATGTACAGCCAGAAAACCGACAGAGTGCAGACCCCAGCATACTATTCTGATGTATTTATTTTGGCATGCACGAAGCTAGTAAAACCATGACTGTCCAATTGTAGGCTATCATGTCATAACTCACCAGAAATCATGTGCAAATCAGATGCTGTCCCCTTGTTTATCAGTTCATACTGGAAGCCTGTAATCTTCCGACTAATGTCCTGCTGAGGGGTAGCCTCGACAAAGAGTCCGCCCTGATCAAAGCTGAAGCAACGCACTCTAGTGGGGTTGTGATCTCCATCTTGGATGAGCAGTTTCAGTTCTCCAGTTTTTTCCAAATAAATATTTGCTCCTGCAGAGTCCTTGAAAGGCTTTATGCAAACAGTCCAATGTTTGGAAGAGGAAGTAACAACATTGGGTCGCAGATTGACTATCAGCGCTCCTGTGGGATACATCCACTCTATGGATCCTTCAGAACAGCGGAGGTAGACCTGTTCCACATCTTTTTTGTGGGACTCATGTGTTAATCCACTAAGAAAAAGAATAAAGATTGAGAAGTTATTATAAAAATTCCTTCATTTATTTTAGGACAATATAGCTTTAGACATATTTAAGGGCTATTGTGCTAAACAGTACTGGTACTTATCTCAGACTTATCACAACCACAATGGCCATTAACTGAAGCTATGCAGGATGTCACCAATGTTCAAATTATTCACTTACATAAACAGTTTATAAGCTATAAGTTTTAGTATGCATTGAGTATAAACCTATACTTTATGTGTTAAGTAACATGTCCAGAAACACTTTGAAGATCTGTGGATGAGGATAAATGTTGAAACCCAAGTTCAGCCCTACACCAACCAACATAATCTCCCTGTGCTTATTTAAATCATCTTCTCTCGTGTCATAGTCAAGACAGAATCCAGATTTCCAGCAGACCTTGACATAAAATGAAACTGATACTAAAAACCCCACCCGTGTAAGTCAAATGCCTTTATGGCTATGCAAGAAAGCAATACATTAGCTTCAGGATCAGCCACTATTTAAATGAGTTGTGGGAGAGAAGATTGGGGTAGAAGAGAGGGATGGAGGCGTGGGGAGAGGAAATGAAGAGACATACAGACCAACATATGGTTTCCATTTCAGGGTGAAGTGGCTGACATTACTGGGGATGTCAGCATAACATACTGTTCATAGGTTACATGAGGAAGCTCCAAGAAACTCAAATTTTAATAATAATCATCATAATGCTGTCTACAAACAGACGTTGCTAAATAATCCTGAAAACCACATCAAAAGCATGGAGGCTTGTGGGAGAAGGAGCTGGTTCTTGACCTCTGCGCTTTCGCCCTCCTCCACAAGGAAACACTTGACATATCGGAGAAATACAACTCTCAATAGGACATTTGATGCAGACTATGTTTGTGGTAAGCACAGGGGAAAGAGTCCTGGTGATCTGCTTGCATGTACAGCGTTGGCCTTCACTACTGTTCTCAGTGCCCATGTAATATGATGGCAGCATGTTAAATTCGGAGTTGCATTCAAACCACCCAAAAGCAGCAGCTGACTGGCCTGAGGAAGTCTGTGCCCCTCAGCACTTCCATGTATAAAATGGGACCTGCAGCTACAGCCTATTTCACATGTTTGTTGTGCAAATGAATCAGATAAGGAAGGTACAACAATTCTGCCAGGAGATTTAATTTAGAAAGTCACCCAAACCTACTGGAAAGCCCCACTCTCTGTCGCTTATCATTGATGAGAGCAAAGCAACTGAGGCATGCTCAGGGGCACTCTTTTTATGGATACATATGAATTCTACACTGGAAGTAAAATGTCTAAAATCCTAAATCCCCAAAACCCATTAAGTTCCACATAGCATACACTTTAGTAATAATTTTATTGCTATTCTATCAAATGAAAAAAACCCACTTCCTGCTAAAATAAAGTGCATTATTAACAACATATCAGTGAATTAACAGTGCAAAGACCAAATATACAGCTTGAAACAACTCTAGCTATTGAGAGATTAAAGCCATTCGAAAGGGAAAGTATAAAGGTACTAGAGAAGAGAATACTACTTCTGTTTTCCGCAATAGGTACCTTTAGGACAATGGATTTTTCTATGCACAGAGTTTTGTGAGCTTTTCTTACTGTGAAAGTAAAGTAGATATATTGTAAAATGTTACACTGAAGACAGTTATACGAGCCATAAAGCAGGAGAAGTAGAACCGGGAGGAAAAAAGGTGTTTGGGGAATGCATCAAGCTCCTATCAGAATTTAGAAGTCAGTGTATGTTGTTGTTGTTGTTGTTGTTGTTGTTGTTATTATAACATTTCTATGCCGCCCCTTGCCGAATATGTTAAGATATGCTGGAGTGACTTGGCTGAATACTCATAGTTAAAGGTGTCACTCTGTACATGGGGAAAGACATCACTGCACTGGGGGGTGAGATGGACCGAATGAATCGAGAACTGATCCATCTTCTGACACTCCCCCCCCCCGCCCCCCAAAGCCACACAAGCTGACTCCAAAGAGAATCTTATTACTACAGAGAACCAGCCTGCACCCACAGCACAAATTCTACATGGTAACAGCCAAGGTGATGTGATGGCCAATCCTTTTTGCCATTGGGATGATATAAGTTGTGGTCTCCATGTCTTGTCTCGTGGCCCAAGCCCTTTAAACTATGAAGGAGGACCACCAAATGCAAAATAGCATTGGCATCAATACAGTGCAGCTGTTCACAAGATGTAGGCAGCTCCTTCTACCTCCTTTGATGCCAGAGTGAGAAATAACTTTTCCTAGGGCAGTCGTCCCCAACCGGGTACCTCTCTGTGTGTTGGACTGTAAGACTCTTTATGGCCAATCCCAGGGACCTATCAGAAAGCAAATGATTTTCCCACTACTATCCTGTATGCGATGGGAGTATGTAGGGAATTCAGCTGCTTTTTGAGTCTAAGAAAAGCCTGAAGCGGTCTATAGAAATCACCATCTTATAGAAGCAGACAAAGAAGGATGTAGCCCGATTGCATCCTAAGCTGAACACAAAGCACCTTCCTGAGTTTAAAAAAAATCTCCTAGTTGCCTAAGGAGATGCAAGGCTCACATGCCTCAAGCTTTTAAAGATGACTAGGTTAAAAATCTGTAACTGACTGCCTGTCAGGGGCTTCATCAAAGGAGCATTTGCTCTCAACAGCCCTGTTGCAGCCCAGGCTCAGCTCAGCGTCACCTGTTTTGGTCAGTTCCACCTATTTTTCAGGAGCCAGACATTTTCTGCTTGCCCAATCGCAAGCGTCAGCTAGAATGTGCAATGTGTCATTCCCCGAAACAAAAATGCTTGATGACAGACTTGGGGGGTGGAGAGAGCAAGAGGGAACTGTTGGGTCAGCCTTGCAAGAGGGAAGTGACTCATGTTGCTCACACACAAGCCTTGTGGCTGGCACTCAGTACACAGTCAAGTCGAGAAGAGAGACTCCATTCATGGGGAGGATAGTATATTGATGAAAGCTAGTCTAGGGTAATGGCCGAAAGGGCAGAGACACAAACCAGGAAGTCCTCGGTTTGAATCTTGGCTCTGCCATGTATTCATGAGGTGACCTTAGACAAGCCACTCTCTCTCTCCTCTCCCCATCACATACTGTCCCACCTTATAGAGTTGTTGGTAGAGCAAGCAACCATCTGAATTGCCATTCTATCTAAACAACTGTTCACTCAACGGTCAAAATCAAGATAGAAGATATAGGTGGATGGGTAGAAAGTTCCCCAGTTATTTCGGATTTCAGTTCCCAGCATTCCTGATCATTCTATGATCTGACTATGGCTTCTGGAAAATGAAGTCCATCACCTCTGGCAATCTACCTTCTGCACACCTTTGGTCTATGGCACTCAAATATATTTTTGGTAGTAAAGAACATTGTTGTTAATAGTTACTTCAAGACAGCAATTTGTGTTTAGAATCACAACCTAATAATTATGGTGTCTGTGCACAAGTTTATTTCAGTAAACTACACCGTCAGGGACTGCAGCAGTGAAACTGTTAACAACAGGGCACCACTGACAGTTTTAGGCACAGGCCTTCCAAAGTTATCTGATGGCATTCAATAAATGTCCCCTGTCATTTTCAGCCATTATCATTGTAGATAATGCACTGTGGCAAAATATTTGCATGTGACAGTTCTTGACACTTGAGATAATTCATAACTAGCTGTGTCCCCTCCTGCAAAGCCTTACAAACAATGTTTGGCTTCTCTCCCTAACCCCTACAAACAAAAGTTGAAAAGAAAGTAACAAAATCCAACTTCCACCACTCTCATCTTTTGCAGTTCCTAAAATATAGTCTGCTATTCCAAGCCCTCACTCAAACCATCCAGTGTAAAGCAAACATAAATCTAATAAAATCTAATAAGTGCTTCACTCTCAAAAGTTACCCAAAAGAAGCCAAATATAAATTGCAGATGCACTTCATTTAGCAATGGTTTCATGTCTGGATGGAAACCCTTTTTCAAAGTCATGGGCTATAAAAGACTTTGAAAACCATAAAGCCATATTAAAATTATTACTGCAGATTAAAGCGGGGGGGGTGGAAAGGAGGAATTTTGGAGCCAAGGAGTTTTACAGATTTCACAACCACAACGATTAGCATAGCTGTGGCAGCCAAGGAATTACTGGGCAAGAGCTTGCCATCAGCAGGGCTGATTTAAATCCAAAGTAACAGCAGTGACGTTATGCCACAGGTGTAACAGAGACCAGACTGACTCCAGACCAGTATCTTTCAAGATCAGTATTGTAGAACAGCAGGTGAACTCCAGAGGAAGTCATGGAAATGTTAACCACCCCCTCAAACCCTTCACACACGCACACACACTCTCTTTACCATTTTCATGGAAAAGCTACTGACTGCACACCACAAGTATTAGGCCTCAAGTCTTGATTCGGATTTGCTCCCCCCTCCGTGAAGAGGAGGAGGAGAGGCCCAATGAGCCTAACTAAACAAACATCTCCCACCCCGATCTAATCAAGTGTCTCAAAGTAAACACATCCAGCCCAGAGAAAGGGAAGTCCACTTGGGCGACCCGCACAAAAAGCTTAAACAACCAAAATAAAGTCCCAGGGCTCCAGCAATGCACCCAAGCTATTGTCAACTTTCTTCCTAAAAGAGAACTTCCAAGCCTATTGTGTTACAGTGAAGTTAATGCTTGCGCGCAGGAGGTCACCGAGCCAGCAGTTACGAGAGCGTGTTATTCGGGTGTTGGGTTGCACGGATGAGGGGAGGGCGCTGCTGTGGTCAGTAGGAACCGCTCTACACCTTTGTCTGCGAAGCGCCAACCGCCCTGCGCCCTCCCTCGCCCGTTGCTTTGGCAATATACGCATCCCGAACAGTCCTGGAATGTTAATCAAAGTGTCCCCTCCTTCCCCGTCCAATAAATCAGAGCAAACAGCCGAGGAACGAGGGATTTCTTTCCCCCCCTTCGCAGCAATCCAACCCATGTGCGCCTGAGTCGCTGGAACACGGGACCAGGCGCCCCCGCCGCCTCCCTTCCAGAACGAAACTTCACACCGCAAAATTGGGAAGAAGATAACTAAGACCATCCCCCGCCCCCATAAGGCGACGCTCGGAAGAAGCGGGGAGAAGGACGAGTCCTCCTTCTCCCGAGCCAGGATCGCCCGCGCGGCCAACCCGACCCAAGCCACCGCGGCCGAACACCAAGCGCTGCGAAACCGAGAAGGCTCAACGAAAGGCAGTATGAGGGAGACACGGAGAGAAAGAGAGGGAGAGAAAAGCAAGCCCGTAGAAGTAGCATGAGGGGAAAACTTGAGAGCAGATCAGCATCTCCCCCAAAACGAAAAGGGCAGCGTTTAAAGGGCGCGTTAACCCCCTCCCATCTGGCGCAAAAAGCAGCCCACCCAGCAGTAGAAGGGCAGGCGAGGTCGGGCACAGGAGGGCGCAGAACCTGCCGGACGGGCGCCCCTTGGGGAGCGAATCCGAGGCGCGGGGATATGCCCGGACAAAGACCGAAGCCTCGGCAACGCTCACGGAGCGGCGGCAGCGCCGCTTCTGCGCCCCGCGAGGATTCCCGGAGCGCCCCGCCGCGCCAGAGAGCGCTTACCTCCCCTTCCAGCTGCACAGGTCACTCGAGTACTGCGCCGTGCAGCCCCTGTCCAGCATCAGGAGCCCGAGCAGCAGGAGCAGCGGCGACGGCGGCGGGAGCAGCAGCCCGGGTGCCGGGGCTCTCCGCATGGTCCCCGCCGGGCTGCAATGGAACGGATCCACCAGGCCAGCGAGAGAGCGCCCGCAGGTCGCGCTACATGGCGAGAAGAGAGCCGCCCGAGGCAAGCCGCTAGCGCCAGCCCATCCCGCCCGGCCACTCGCCTCAGCAGTGCGCTCGTCGTCCGAGCCGGCGCTCGCTCTGCGTTCCAGGCTTAGGCGAGGGCGGGGAGGCCGCGCGCCTCGGGAGCCGCCCACTCCAGTCAGCGGCGAAAACCCGCACTGGCATCCGCACGGAGCGGACTGCGTGCCGGCCCGGCCCTCTGAAGAGGGCTTGGTTTCAGAGCCTCACAGCCAGGGCAGCGGTGCCGGCTTTCCTCCTCTGAAAACGTCTTCAGCCCTAAAGTCTCGAGAGGGTAGCAATCTTCCCTCAGCTGTAGATCTGAAAGCATCTGACAGACTAACTCATGTTAGTTAGTTAGTCTCTAGTCATGTTAGTGCATGAGCTTTCATGGCACTGCCTGTTTCACACCTTTGAGTTATCACAAGGCTGCTGTTCAGGTGCTAAAGACCAACCTCCCCACCGTTCTGTTTCCATTCCCATCCACCCTAGCCAAACAGCCAATTGTGTAGAATTATGGGAGTTCAGGTGGCAAGGCTTGTGCACAGGCCGGGGTTTCTGCAGTTTTTTAATGTGCACCTTGCAGGGCATGAGGTTAGAAAAGAGAATTCAAGCCAGCTCACAAATGAAAACATCATCTATAAAAAGCAGCAGGGAATCTTTTTTGGTTCAAGGATGATGGTCCCTGGGCAAGGACACTGAGGACTACAGACCAGCAGTGGACATGGTAATGGTGACAGAAGTGGGCAGCACCATTGCTGGAAGAGACACCCCCCCCCCCCATGGCTCTTCCTCAGCTTTTGCACTGGGGATGAGCAGAACCCCAGGGAGTGAGCTCCCAAGTAACCTGGGAGGCAAAGTGGCTTCAGGGACAGGGTGCAAGCTTATGGGGGAAGGGACATTATCAGAGGCCTTTGTAGACCAGATGGTGCGTGAAGTTCCTCATTCCTGATATAAAAGGATGGTAACTCATTATATCAAGCAACATGTCCCAAATCAGCAGCCACAAAAGAACAGTGTAAATATAGTAAGTCAAAGAAAATTAACCATGAAAAGTAATGCATAAAATATCAATAATAAAAACAACCATCAGAATGGTTGCACAATGGCTGTATTCACACATAAAGACAAGCCATAGCAGATATGGCTTGTTATGTGTGAATACTGGAAGCATGGTGAAACATGGCAGATTTGGTTACTGTGAAACCACCAAAGAGAAAAACTGGATTTCCACATTTCAGCATTACTTATCATTATGTGTGAAATAAGTTACACTTTTTTTCTGCAGTTTCCCTGTTTCCACCAGTGAGCTCAGTGCCAAGAGCGAATCCAGCCACCATTTTCCACTGCCCTGTTCACCTAGTTGAGTGGCTGGTGAACAAGGCACTGATTGGCTTCCCAGGGCTCCCTATCATCCTTCCCAACACGCATTTGCCAGTGCTTGGCCACCCTGCCTCTGCCATGTGCATCACTTTGCCCCTCATCTCTTTTCCATTTTGCCGCCATGACAGCCTAACACATGCCTCCCAAGAGGGTCATCTCTTTCGCATGTGTGAGAGAGATGCCAGCCTCACAAGGCATGCACACATGACAGAAATGTCTGTCTTGTGAGGCATGTTTGAGGCTGGCATGGTGGCAAGCCATGAAGTGGTGAGGGGGTGGAGTGGCAGGTGTGGCAGTTGTAGGATAGACAAGCACCAAAGGCACGTGCCAGGAAGAAAAAAGGAGAGCACCTCCAGCAGAGCAACTGTGTGTGTAGCCCTGCGTGACACTCCTGCCTGGTCGTTGCTGTGCTGTTCGTGTGGAGCCATCATCTTACTCAAAGGAGTCAATGGGGGCTCTGCAAGAAGAGAGCCAGTGTGGTGCAGTGGTTAAGAGCCTGGGACTGGGACTCAGACGACCTGGGTTCTAGTCCCCGCTCAGCCATGGAGCCAACTGGGTGACTTTGGGCCAGTCACAGACTCTCAGCACAACCTACCTCACAGTGTTGTTGTTGTGGAGATAAGATGGAGGAGGAGAGATGATGTAAGCTGCCTTGCGCTCTTTGTAGGAAAAAGGCAGGATATAAAGTGCAATATTCTTTTCTTTTATAACTTTTCTAACTTCATTTATATTGTTTATATTTTTATTTATTTTATATTATTAATTTTAATTTTATATTGTTATTTTTGTATTGTGTTGTAAGCCGCCCCGAGGCTTCGGCAAGGGGCGGCATAGAAATGTTCTAATAATAATAATAATAATAATAATAATAATAATAATAATAATAATAAATTTGCAGGAAGAAAGGGGCAGCTGAGAACACACCCAGGGCAGTGTGCTGACCAATGGGGAAAGGCAGGCGGCGTGGGCAGGAGAGGTGCATGCTGAGATTGGTTCCCAGCCACAGGGACTTATGGGATACCTGCTGCCACTTGGAGGGAAGATGAAGGCACAGGGAAGCTGCTCAGGAGTAGTAACCTCATGAATATGGGAACCCAGGACAGAAGGTAAGAAAGGTAACTTCATGATATCTAATGCAACGTCTCCTCCTGCAAACTCCTGCCTTGACCCTAAGGTCATCAGCAGAGGCCCTTCTTTGGGAGCCTTCTGTCAAGGGTGACTACCCAGAGAAGGGCCTTTTCTGCCACGGCGCCCTGGTTACGGAACCAGCTCCTCAGAGAAGTGTGCCTGACGCCCACACTAAAGACTTTTCAGCACCAGGCCAAAACGTTTTTATTTTCACAGTATTCTAACTATTATTTATATGTATGTGTGCGCGTCTTATTTATTTTATATGACACTGGGGTTGTTTGCCTGTTTAATCTGTTTTGACTCCATTCATTTTATAATTATTCCTACCAGATTATATTTTGCTTTTATAATTTCTTAAAACTAATGCGACTTTTATTGACTTTATCTTGTGATTATTTAAATGTGTTTGGCAGTGTTTGCTATGTTTTTTAAATTTTAATATATTTTAAACTGTCCTAAAAATAATTGACTAAATAGGAATGGTATAGAAATGTTTTAAATAAATAAGTAGCTAAATATTCCTTAGGATTATATGTGAACCTAGCCAGTGAGAGAAAGTCTCACCAGTCAGTATCACTAGTCTGCCTGTCAGATAGGTATCACATCTGGGCCCAGTTACTTGGTTCTTTTATTATACTGAAAAGCCACCAGTTGCATAAAATATACTATTTCTGGAAGAAGCCAATATGACAATCATTAAACAAGTGACTTATGAAACTAATAGTGTGGCTTACTTGGGAATTAGCCTCACTGAACTCTGTGAGATTTATTTCTAAGTAAGAGTGTCTAAGATTGCACTTGGAGCAAATCTTCAGTGCTTAAATCTACACTGAGAACTTTAAAACATGTATTAAATATATCTGAGCTGCAATTTTAAACATGAGAGTAAGGCCCATCAAATTCAGTGGAACTTACTTCTGCATAGACATGCATTTGAGAATGCTTTTAAACTGCTCTAGTGCAATCCTAGACACATCTATGCAGAAGTAATCCTCACTGAGTTAAATGGGTACTTACAAGTAAGAATGTAGACCATGGGTCCTCAAACTACGACCTGGGGGCCAGATCCGGCCCGCCATGGCCATTTATCTGGTCCACCTCAGAGGTTTTCAACGCGCCCGCATGGCGCAGGGGCACCCCCTCTGCCGCCCACCTCACCCCCTCCCCCTGCGCAGGGAGGCAGCGGCTTGCTCGCGAGGAGATCATTTTGGACTCACTAGGAGAAAACAATCTCCAAGCGAGCAAGCTGCTGCATCGTGCGCCCGCCACTACATGGCGGCGCGTGCCCGCCCTCGCCTTGCCTCCCCTCACTGTGCGTGCCTGCCCATCTGTGCCTCGCTGTGCCGCACACCCTGCCCCGCACCTCAGCGCACGCCCGCGCCCTGCCCGCGCTCTCTCGTCGGCTGGGTGTGCCCCAGCACCAGCACCTTTCACCTGGCCCCCTGGTGAAAAGGTTTGAGGACCCCTGATGCAGAGGAATGCAGCCTGAACTGTGTGTATTGGGGACTTCCTGACTCTCACAGAGCCTCCTGAAATGCAAACAGTGAACACACAAATACCTGCTTA